ATCCCAGACACTTAGAACAGCTGAATGATAAAGGATACACCAGTACAACAGGCCCACAACTGGCTGACACATAACATGATATGACCAATTTCCTAAATTCTTTAGAAGTCAAGTGTTACATAATTAACTTATTTCATGAAGCAGTTCAATTACAAAACCAATCTATTCAAAATAAGTAGTATATTAACATGCTTTGGTGCAAAGATTTATACAACAAAATGAACTTTTCAATGATTGTGAATTAAGAAAAAAAATTGAACTATGCACATGGCTTGGGAGGCTGAGGCAGGAAGACCACAAGTTCAAAGCCAGCCTCACCAACTTAGTGAGGTCCTAAGCAACTTAGTGAATCCTGTCTCTAAATAAAAAATAAAGGAGGGCTGAGCATATGGCTTAGTTGTTAAGCACCCTTGGGCTCAATCTCTGGTATCAAAAATGAATAAATAAATTTAAAAGGGTCTAAATCCCCAATGGCAAATATAAATTTATCTAGAAAAGTTAAAAATATTATGTTGTTACTTAATTAATAAAGGCTGTATATTAATATACTTGGCGATATATCATACTTCAGAATAGTTCTGAAAAACCTCTATGCCACATTAAAAAGTTTACTTGGAATATGCAAAGTATCCACGTGTAGGAACAACTCAACAATGAAATACTTTCTAATGATATTCCCCAAGTACAGCATAATGCATTTTTACTGCAATAAGTAATTCTGCATTTTTGTACATAAATCATTTAAGTTACTATAGCCAATAGTATGCATTCAAACCAATACTAATTAATACAGTTTAGTCAAAAGGCAAAATGTATTGGACAAACATGTTGAGAAGTAATAAATAATTGTCATATCCATTTAGAAATATACTTGAAAAAGTTTTGTACGTTCCAATGAAAATGTTTCCTAGAACTGTGTTCTAGGCTGTAAGCAAAATGCTTCTGCTTATTACAGTATCATAGTAGGATATCACACAATTTCCATTCAAATTCAGTGGATTAAAATGACAGACTTGTGTTCAGTTTTGCTAAAGTAAAAGAAGATATCATATTTAAGCAAAGAATCTCTCTTCCTTCCTTCCTTTGATTAAAGCATGACAAGCAGATAATAGGACATTTTGAATTCATATCAGGAAGATGGCTAAAAATGCACAAAATTCATACAGAAGGGTTTGAATGAGAAACAGATTGAAAAATTTAGCTTAAAAATGACATGTAATTAAAAAATGTGCAGGCACAAGGAGGATATAAATGTGGATGTTCACAGTGTTGTTTCCAAAGAATGTTAACCATTTTCAACTTGTTTATACAACAGTATATGTTAATAGGGTAAGAATAAAGCAATTGATTGACAGTACAGTAATGGCCACATTCTATGTAAAAATAAGTCATCTAAAATTTACGTACTTTTCCAAAGTAATGTTTGCCCCACTCCTCAGTTCTACACACTCTGGTTCCTAAAACAGAACCAATGTGGTTCTACTGTCTTCTGTTCTCTGATGTCATACACTGACAAAGTAACTCATATCTTCTATGCAGTATAAATGCAACATGAAAACTATAAAAAAAGTTGATGTGTCCACACAAAGCTTAACAAGTTTTGTTAGAAATAAAATACTATATGTATTACATGAGGTAGTGATCAAATTTAATAAATTAATGGAAATGCTTTGTTTATATAAAAATAATGTCCTTTAGACACTCGTGAATTTACTTAAATCCAAAGTTTAGGCAAGGAAAGTATATATTATTACATTGAGTATATTCACCATGAAATATTTTATCAAGAAGGTCCAAATAGTTCAAGTGAACAGAGATTTAGCAATGAAAAATATTATTGACTAACCTTAAAGGACAAAGTAAAATGATACAGATGTTGAAATTTTTAAATGGAATTTCACTATAAATTCTCTATTCAAATTTAACAGATTATATTATTTGCATGATAAAGTTAGTAGATTACAGAATGAATTTCCTTTGAGTTGTAGCTCCACTTAAGGAAAGTTTTGTTTTTCGTGATTCTCTTCTTAAAAACAGACATTCTGGCACTTAGAAGATGAAAATGTATCATTTGACCTTTAAACTTCTGTTTCATTAATGTAACCACAAGCAACAGAGTCACTGACTGGCAGGCTTGCACTTTAAGGCCTTTACCACTTAAAGTTATTTGATAACTGTTATGCCACCATTTGTTTTTTATTAGACACTTTGGGGAACATGCTACAATAAAAACAATATATTGCGTAAAGCTTGATAAATAACATCTTGTAATTCAGTTAAGTATTCTCTTAACACTGGATTCATCTACTTTGATGGGAAGGGGGTGTATATTTGGAGGGTAGATTTTTGGTTTGCTTTCTAATGAGTTATAGGTTAATGCCAAATATAATGCTGAGCATACCAGAAAAAAAAAAAAAAAAAAAAAAAAAAACAAAAAAAAAACAGAATATAACTCTGTAAGTTTATTCCTTTTGAAAAATATGGCACCTAAGTTGCCCACACTCTATGAGTCCTTAGGCCATACATGTTTTGGTCTTGAACAAAGACAATACCAAATGCAGAAGTCAAGAAAAATATTTGATATTACTTAAAGTTGTTTTAATAGAGATAAAATTTGTTGTAAATAAATATGTTTAATTATTTTTAAACCTTTGGGCAATGTAAAAAAATTCAACAATTGGATACATCCTAGATAATTATAAAATTAATATGAGCAAATTGCTTTGAGTAAAAGGTAATGCAGATAAGATTTCTGTTTCATATTACAAAAAAATGATTGTTCATCAAAAAAATAAATTATAATTGGTTCAAAATATCATTGAGAAGAGACAGAGATTCTATTTGCTTTAAGAAGTTTTAAAAGTCAAAATTTTCCTAAAGATATTACAAAACTCAGGATAGAGCATATAAATGGATGAAGTACACTGCTCAGAAAGTAAACAAGGACTGCACCAAACCAACAACATTGGAAAGATATTATCCCCACATGTCAGGAAAGCTTCACTGTTGGAAGCAGTGAGTTCTCCTGGAAGCAGAATGTGGCTCCAGCTATTGTAATTAACCATGGTATCTGATGGATTGTTCATTAGGAAAAAAAAAATGCCAAGTAATATGGTGAAAAGATAAGCCATCTACCAAATCCCTTAGGTTGAAAATGGTACTGCTTTCCACACATAAGCAATATGCCACTACAGACATACATATTGCAGCTCCATGATATGTGTTTTCAGCCCCCAAAGGTAGTATTTTGTCTTTATCACTGTTATTCAAACTTCTAAAAGAAACAATATAAAAAGTAATTATGTGTTTAAATTATATTCTATATGTGACAATGTTATGACTAACAATGAAGTTATTTTACTATGTGTAATTTGAAAACTTGTTACTTTTGTATATACAACAGTATTCATAACAAAGATAACATATTGTTAAAACATAAATTAGTGTATATTAGAAATTATAATAGTACTCTGCAAATTGGGACTCATGTCTCAAGATGTATAAGCCATATACCACACCCACATCATTAAATTTAAAATATGTTGCATGATTCAAACAGAAATATATACCAATTTCTTTCACATCTCTTAAGCCATGTATCCTGAATTTGTGTAACCTACACTTATAAGCTAACTACCACCCAGTGGAGAGAAAGAATATCTTTCAGGAAGATTTGAGGTATATGTCAGGTGGGGGTGTCAGGGGAGAAGGGAGGGCAATGGGAAATGAAGGAATAGAGCATTTATCCTTGTTTAGATTCAAGCACTACTGATCATCAATTTGTATTTTCACAGGAAAGGAAATGTTTCCAGAAGCTCATTCTGCAATGTTGCTTAGGGATAAAACCAGGCTAGGATGTTCATTAATGACAAACCATTTCAACGTTTAAGCTCAGAGAAACGAGAAGAAGGGATTGGGGGAGAAGTAAAACTGAAGACCAGAAGGAGGGAGAAAGGTTGGAAGAAGAGGTGGCAGCAGGTTGGGGAAGGTGAGAAGGCAGGAGGGGGTGGGGGAGATAGTGTGTACACACATATGAGTGACAGTGTGTGGAGCAGAGGAGTGTATGCGTTTTAAACAGCAAGAATCTGAACGTGAGAGGGGTCCGTAGAGTACAGAAGTGCCCATGTGTGCTAGGATATGAAAGAGCCTGTGAAGGAGTGTGTTTATAAAACTAAGATTTATGAGGGTGAGAAGTGGTACTTAGGGGGAAAGCGGGAACATGCATGTGGGTGTGACACGGATGGGGAAGAGCACAGGGGAGAAGGATGTGGGAAATGGGAATCAAAGAGGGAAGACAAGGCACTGAGTGAGGACACTAATAAGAATAAAAAATTAAGGGAAAGGGAAGGGTGAAGAAAGGAGGGGATAGGGTTAAACAAGTGGATAAGAAATAAAAGTGGAGGAGATCAAAAAGGGGAGGAAACAGAAAAATAGAAAACGGATAAAAGAAGGCAATCGAGAGCAAATAGTAAGACGGAGGTGGAGAAAATGGTAAAAGAGAGGAAGGAAAAAAGAGAGGGGAGAAACCGGAAGAAAGAAAGAAAGAAAGCTAAAGAGAGAGAAAAATTGAGCCTGAGTGTCCAAGTGAGAGGGAAAAATAAATGGAGCAGAGAGCCAGCACTTTGACAAAGTCACTTAGGCTAGAGTAAAATAGAAACAAACCTGATAAACTTGTCAGACTCTCCGAGAGTACCCCATGACAGTAAAACAGAGACCTTGTGAATTGAGTTTCAAAGTGGCACCTGCTCCTCCTTCCAAACCTGACACTTCACTCAACCCCGGGCTACTTGGCTTCCCAGCAAAGTGCTTTAGCATCCTTTTGCCCCGGCAAAAAAAGAGGCTTGGATTCTGGGAAGAATCAGCACCTGGATTTCTTGAGATGTGGTCTTTTGATTAGTGAGCACCCCCAGTATTACTGTTCAGTTTAAAAGAAGGTAAAGAAGGTGGAAAGAGAGAAAGAGAGACTGAGACAAGTACGAAAAGAAAGACGTTCTTCCTACCTAAGCACCGCCGTGTCCCCTTTTCTGACCATCATGTTGTCCACGGTGGCCCAGGGGAAGTCCACACTCTGTCCAGCGGGGAGGCAGGAGGGTAGCAGGCAGCACAGGCTGAGGAGCACCGCCGCCAGCCACTGGTTCGAGCAACAAGCACCCTGCACCAACAGCATCATGTCCATCCCTGCTAGGGCTGCTCACTCTCCAGCAGCTTTCAGCTCGCACTCCCCCACCCCCTGGTGCTGGCGAGTCTTCCCGGGAAACAGGCGGCGCGCCACAGATTTTTTTTTTTTTTTTTTTGAGTGGGTGGGTGGGTTTCTTTTCTTTCTTTCTTTTCCCCCCCTCCTAGTTGTCGGGTGTTGTTTCTTTTTTCTGTCTCTCCTCCTCCTCCTCTTCACTTTCCCTCCCTCCCTCCCCTCCCACCCCCTGGCGCCACACTACACCTCCTCTCGGTTGCTTTTGGCCGAGTCCGGAGTGTGTCTAATTCTTGGGCGGCTCGCACACCATCTAGCGAGGAGGCGAGCGCGCCGGCGAGTGAGGGAGGAGGCGCGGCAGCGGCGGCAGGGCGAGCGGCGGTGGCTGCAATCGCAGCAGCAGTAGCAGCGGCAGCAGAGGCAGAAGCAGCGCGGGGCGCAGCGGCGGCCGCCGGCCCCCGGGCTCGCGCGCGTTGCCAAGCGGCCGTTTCCTTAGCAACCCCGCCCGGGGATTGAGGATGGAGCAGGGAGGGGGGATATGAAAGGGGGAAAAAAAAGATTGAAAAGAAAAAGAAAAGAAAGAAAACGAAAAAAAAAAAATCCGAGGAGGTATATCACAATTGTGCAAACTGAGGAGGAAAGAGATGCACATAGACTGAAGGTTTCCCTCACTGTCGTAAGCGCTAGAGGGATGCTTTGCTAGAAAAGTGTACCGGGGCTGGGGTGGAGAGAGCTGAGGGGCGCTTTCCTTCCCCTCTTCGGTGCGTTTTATCTCCTGAGGCACCGTAAGTTTTAAGTCTTCTAAGTTGGGGTCGGCGCCATCATGACGCCGAAGACTGTGAGTTGGTTTTTGTTGCTGTTTTGTTTTTAATCTTGCCCTGGTGGTCTCGCGCTACAGTTAAGAAGCTGCTAACTAGTTTTCTTTTTACTCCTTTTCTGGAATTTGAAGGGACGGTGTGGCAGGGCGCCGATTTTTTTTTTTTCGGGGACACGATGGGGTGCAAGGCCTTGCGGTAGAGCAGCTGGCGAGTCTGTCCGGTCAGCCCATATGGATTGGAGGACTCCTGTCCTTCTCTAGGCGTCTTGACACACACACGTGTGTTGTGTGTGTGTGCGTGTATGTGTGGTATTGAGAGGGAGAGAGCAAACGTGTGTACGTGTGTGTATGTGTGTGTGTGTGTGTGTGACAGCGAGTAGTACGCGCTGGGCGCGAGCGCAGAGCTTGTGTGCGCGCGGCACGCAGGCGCGCTGGGAGGGACAGGGCGGGCCGTGCTGGGATGCAGTGTTGGAAAGAGACTGCAATCAAGTGTTTTAATTGTGTAGAGCCAGTCAGTCCTGTTATGTAAGAGGCAGTTTAACAGTTTAACCCGTTTGCGTCTATCAGGCGGAATGATCAGCTCATCCGAATCTAGGCAGGGCAGAGTTACCAGGTTTAAGGAGTCACAGAGTTTTATTTTTAAACAACCTCAAAACCGGGTTGGAACAAGCTTTCATCTCAGGGGTCGCAGAGCTGCAATCTCCGCTCATCAAGCCGCAGCCCCTCTGCTGCTTCACTAGGCTGTTGCAAGCCGCGGTCCTGGCCCAGGGCAGAATGGGCAGGGAACCGACCCCTACTCCTCCCGCTTTCTTTTCTTTCGTTCTTGAACTCATTTTCAGATTCAAGATCCTTTAGCTATTCCGGGCCATTTACAAATCAATGAAAGAACTGATGCTGGAGTCCATAGCAGTTCTGCCGATCAATCTTGTTCAGTGAGGAGTTCGGGAAGCAGAGGACCCAAGTGGAGAGAAACAAGTAGTTAAAAATAAATTAGCCCCTCCTTAATTCTTTTCCTCCCCCACCCCTCCGCCTTTAGTAGTGTTTCAAAAAGATATTCTTCGCCTCACCCCAGTCCTTCTCCTCTTAAACAATATAGCTGCCTTGCACATCCTAACTCGTTTTTCATAACGCTAGCAGGATCCTTTGGCAAAGCGCACCGTAGCAATAATCTCTGCAGGGGTCAGCATCCGGCTTCCTCCCCAGCCCGAGCTCTTTATGAGGCAGGCAGGGAGTCGTTTTGCTTGGTAGTAGTGGTACTCAGAGTGATTTTTATCGCCATGCATAAGGACTTGTGGGAAAAGGGAAGGCTTCCCATCACCTGTGACCACCCAGACGGACTGATATCTAAGAGCCCCTAACCAACAACACTTCCCTGCTAAACTAACACTCCAAGCTCAGCAATTAACCAAGAGGTTTGCAGCAGGAGTTGCTGATGTTATTAGTATTCAGGCTTAATTCTTAAAACCGGCTCGGATTGAAAGTGCAATAGTATGCAGCCGCATTTTGAAACGTCAATAAAATGTTAGTCATTTGCGGATGAATGAAAACATTTTCTTTACCGTCTGGTGTGCTAGGGAAATAATTATCAAATGACAGACTCTTGCTAATATTGACGCCAAATACCTAGATAACACTGTCATCTTGTTAACTGATTTTTTTTTTCCTTCTAGCGTGGTACACTGATAGTTAAAGCTTAAAATTATCTAGAACAAACGAGGGATTAGAAGAATTGACATGTCATATACATGGGCAAAACTATGGAATATTATTTAATATTTTTGCTAGAGATGAATTAGATCTGGATAAAGAGAAGCAGAAGGCACAGCTTCCGGCATTGTGACTCACTTTAGTGCTATTTTATGCAGAGATGGGGTTGCCAGCCTTTTCTAATACAAGCTATGAAATGCATCCTTTCCTAACTGTTGTTTCCCTAGGATCTGACATCTTCAGTGTCAACGGGGGTGGGGACTGGGAAAGAAGGAGGAGGGATTTCTGTGACCACGGATGAAGCTTTGCAGCAGTTTTAATATGTACAACAACCCTTCAAGCTTGTAAACGGAAACTGGAGCCACTTCTATTTAAAGGCAAAGAGTTTCTTTTCCTTATTTCTAGTTTCTATCTCAGCTTCTATTCATTGATCAAAAAGCACTTAATTCTCACAGAACACAACCCAAAGAAGCAATAACTAAACCTAGTTTATAGATGCATAGAGCATTGGAGAGATTATTTACAGGTAGGTCAGTGCTATTTGAAGTGAGTGCAAGAATGTTGGATGGGGCAGCCCCTCTTGCCCTGTATACTTCTGCTGTCCTCTGACTAGAGAGGAAAATGATTTTAAAAGCCTTTTATGACATTCTTTCCCCTTGACCTTTCTAAGGGTATATATCTGAGAGGATTTTACAGGGTTTCCAGTATTTGCTTTTGAGGTCCCAGAGTTCTTCCAAGCAGAAACATAAATCCTGGAAGTCTTGGCTCCTTTTGAGGAAAAACCAGAACAAAAACAAATAACCACAACAAAATGAAAGAAAACCTCCTAGTATCAAGAATAGATAATAGGATTGTTAAAAAAAAATCTTTTAGATGGTTAATATTGGCTTGGATGTAATGGAATCCATCCTCAGCCAGAATTTTTTAGAAATGACATTGCTTTTAATTCTTCTTTTATAATTATGTGCTTTCCTTTGTTTTTAAACTTCAACTTCTAATATTTGAAGAAATATAATAATCTGTATGGAATTAGTTTGGAAGGAGAAAGGTGGAGATTGATTGTGATAGCTTATTATTCGGTTATGTAGATTGATTTACACTCCTTTCTTCCATGCCCTCTGACTGGTATTTTGAACATTCAGGAGTGTTGGGAAGGGTAATATTGTAAAGCTGTGTTAGTTAATAAGCCTGTTTTTATTCAGTGGTATAAACGAGATTGTTATTAACAAAAGATAAAATATAAATTCACATTTTTTCTTGATAATGAGTAAAGCCATATTCATATTTCATATTATTACTGTCTAGGCATGAGAAATTTTAGGCAAGACAGGACCCAAGATCTAATGAAAAGAACTAATGAGAGCATTTTGTAATTTCTGAAGGAAGTCAGTCAGGGTACACTTAAAAACAGGACATATGAATAATAAAACTCGATAAATTGGCCTATAATTGATTCTCTATTTGAATTAAACTGGCTTAAGACTGGAGCACCTTGACAACTAAAACTGATCATTAGTGATGGTTTTCAAATCAGTATGAGATGTATAAAACTTGGCAAATTTGTTGAGAGATTTCTCAACCTAGACTCTTTTGACATTTGGGGCCAGGTACTTGTTTTGGGGGATTGCCCCAAGCACTGGAAAATGTTTAACATCATTCCCTGCCTCTACTCACTAGATGCCAGTGATACCAGTAGATGGCAGTAGTTATGATAACCGGAATTTCTCCTGACTTGATACATGTTTTGTGGATTGGGGGCATGGATAACTGGATCACCCCAAGTTACAAACCATTCCGGTGTAGGTTACTTTCTAGAAATATATGCTATCTTCTCCTTGTTGATAAAATAATGAAGCAGATTTTTGGTCCAAAAAAACAACTAATTTGAATTCTGTAGCTACAAAATCATTTCTCCTCATCAGTTCACTCTCCGAATTTACCCTTCTGTATAATCAAGTAGCCCAGATTAGCACAGATGCAATAAATTTAATGACAGAACATAAAAATATGTTTCTATGATTTTTTCATGTACTGTAGGAGACCTTCTCAAGACCACAATTACAATATACAATTACAATGTCTTCTGTATTTTTAGAATACATTCTTTAGTTATGCATGGTTTGGTTTTAAATGCTGTTGTAAAGGAGGGTTAGATTTAAGCCAGAATTGAATTGATAGTTCTCGTTTTTAAAATAACTTGTCATTTTGTGGTTTTCAAGTAAAAGTAAATGAGCTTGTTTCCAGCCAGAACTTATTTAAGTCTTGGTATTCTTTATATTGTGGCAGTTGCACAGTATGCACTCTTGGAGATGGCTATTGAATAAAGGAGAGGAAAAACAAAGTCATTTCACTATTGAATCATGCTGTTTAATAATCATAATTTATTTCATTCACTTTCCAGTTATTTACCATCTTTTCTATTAATTATCAGCTCTAAGGGTAAACAAAAGAAATAAGAAGTATGTGTTTGTGCATTGTTTAGGGAGAGTGGGGATACCTACTCCATTTATGAAGTTCTTCAGCCACTCCCATAAAATGACCCTGAAAATTTCACTAAAGTACTTAAACAGGAAAGAGAAATCTTACAGTAGGTGTGGGTAGAAATCATTTCTAAAGCAATGAAAGTTTTATTTTTTTTTGCTTATAAAATAATGAGTCTGGCTTTAAGACATTT